AACTGGGGACAATTGGGTGGATTGAAAATTTTCGGAACAAACTGGACCATTGTTGTACTTCCCGGCTGTAGTGACAACTCGCAAGATCCGGCCGAAATGTCGCCGGACCGTAATGTGACTGGATAAAGGGCAGAATTCGCTTGTGGAGACATTCGGTTTTGTAAACCGCCGAGTTCATCAGTTTCTCAGTGACGAAAACCTTTGTCTTCTGACCGCAGCTGCACATTCCCTGCCAGATCATATATTTGCGGGCGAATTTATCCGCGAAAACAAATTTGAATCTGCCAGGGACACCTCCTCGAGCCTTGTATGATTTTGGTCCTGGAAGCTGTGTGAAGTTGGCCTTTAGGTTTCGGCATCCATAAGATTGAAATTGGTCAGAATGTTGTCATACAGCTTTCGAGCACGGGCTCTAGCTACGGTATTCCGCATGAGTGATCGATTTGGTTGCCTAGGCCTGTACGCCTTCGCGGTAGCAAATTCGCTTTACTACACTGAACCAATATGACATATTCCTGTTATGTGGAAGTCTAATAAATTTGCGCTATAAGAAAATCCAATCAAAACGATATGATTGAAAAGGTGTCAGGTAAATATTATATGAATATCTGATACCTTTACAATGGTGATAAGTTGGTAGCTTTTATATGATCGTCATATGATAAATAAAAATCGGTCAAATTATAAGAACTAACTGAAATGGATTTGAAACCCATAAGCATAAGCTTTTCTTTTCACAGCAATATCATATACATATCATTAATCAATCTAATTAAAATTTATATGAAAATCACATGAAGTTTACTCCTTGTTTTGACACATATATTTTATCGGTTCTAAAAATAAATCGAACAATAAACATAGGCAATGGAAGGCGGTGCTTCGAGAGTGCTTTCACAGTTGCATTTTGTTTTATTGTAGCTGATTTGGGATTCGATCCAGGACTGTTGAAGTGTGATGCTGTTGGTGTCTTCGCTCGGTTCCACTGGGCCACGGTTGACTTCGAGATAGAGCTCGTTCAATCAGCATGAAGTAAGAACAGCTCTCCCATTCATGGAATGTAGTGCAACGTTATGCTCGTTTTGCTAGAGTGAAGAAAAATAGCACTGGCAAATTTATGTTCCGTTTCGGTGGTGTCGTTTGTTCAAATCTTTCTTAATGCACTTGTGTGCAATAAAACAACATCTAAATTGGGTTCTTTAATTTTAAAAAATATATCCGTTTTTATATATCATCTGAAAGAGCATCGTTTTCTGAGCACTGCGATATTTTTTTCGAACCCACACACTTTCATCTCGATTTTTAAATAAAGATTTAAAGCAAAATAATAACTTCACTGTTTGACACTAAACTGACAAACTGACAGCTCGCTCCCATACAAAGTGACACCGAGGGGCGCGATTTTTGCAAATGTAATCGTGCTTATTTAAAATAGTTCCAGTGTATCAAAATTTATGAAATTTTGGGTTTGGGTTCCATTTTTAATGCAGATTACGAAAATGCATTTACCTCAATACCCTTAAAAAACCCAATTATATGAGTTGATGGAACTGGTTCATGAACTTCCAGTACTAGTGCTGGAATCTGAATAAGCCGTGTAAGGCCTGTACTCGAAAAAAAAAATGCATCAGACAAAAGTGTTCGCCAAAAACTTATTTTAAGTCGGATTTTTTTTTTTGAAACTTTCAGGGAATGAACTAATACATATGGATTATGTTTCAGCATAATTACTTTATTCAATTTCCTTTCCATCGCTGAAAGCCCGAACCTTTCCCTTAAGACCCCTCATTACATTTTGTGCAATGATGGAGCCGACCTTTTTGGTCACTTTCATCCATTCTTTCTTCAACTCCAGCTCGTTCTTAAACACCTTCAACGAATTTCGAACTTTGGCCTTCATTATGGCCCAAAATCTTTCCACCGGACGAATCTCTGGTGAATTTGGGGGGTTGACGGTTTTTGGTACAAAAACAACATTATTGTCTCTGTACCAATCCAACGTCGATCGCGCGTAATGGCATGATGCCAGGTCCGGCTAAAATAATGTCTCGCCTCCGTGGGACCGCAGGAAGGGCAACAGACGCTTCTGGAGGCACTCGGTGCGGTTAATTTCGCTGTTGATGGTACCCATTCTGATGTACGGTTTACTCAGTTTACCACATTGGCATATGGCCTGCCAGAGCAAGTATTTTTTGGCAAATTTGTCCACTTTCTTCTTCCTTATGTCTTCCGGAACATCAAACCATGATTTGGCATCGTAGAACTCCAGCCCCGGTATCTGCTTTGCGTCTGCATTGATGTAAGTTTCATAATCCATAACCACACACATCGGTTTCGTTAACCACTCTCGATACAGCTTCTTTGCGCGGGATTTGGCCGCCGTGTTTTGTTGATCATGCCGGTTCGGTGCCTTGTGGACCTTGAATACATGAAGCCTAGCTCATTTCATGGTTTGCTGAACGAACCAGGCGGAACACTTTGCCTTCAGAGCCGCGTCGCGAATCGGAAGGTTCGGATTACGCTTGAAATAATCCAACACCTTCCGGGCCTTCACAGGGTCAGCTGTCTTCGATTTTCTTCCACTTCCAGCCCGCCGTTCAGTCGTCTGGAACTCCTTAAACGATTTTACCACCCGAGACACAGTTGTATGGGTGATTCCCAGTTGTCTTCCGATCCATCTCATGGCCGCAGTTGGATTTTCCATGACGGCGCGCAAAATTCTCCGGCGATTTTCTTCTTGTTTCGATGACATCTCAATAACCACTGAACCGATTGTTATGAAATGCTGCACATGTAAACAATTCACTCCAAACTAGTTATACCCAGATTTTCATCAATTTTTACCCACGGATAAAAATGGTGCATTTTTTTCGAGTACAAGCCTTAGAAGACTAATAATTATAATCATAGCAAAGTAAATATTGCAGTAAGATCATTTTTATTTTCAATCTCAATACATTATTTTCCGGAACCCCTTATCTTATGGGACAATAACAAGGAAGGATTATTCAATACAGTATCATTGTTGTTAGCAATATTTAGTTCGAATAACAATCATGTTCAATGAGTGTACGATAACATCGTTGAAAATTATTTCAATAATTTAGGCAGAACAATCATATAATATGTAAAACCATGCAAAAACAAATTTTTACCGTTGGGTTTCCTAAAAGGCAAATCTATATGACTATCCAATGATTGGGGTCGATCTGTTTACAATCTTAAATCGTCAAAAATCAAAGAAAGCTATTCCAATAAGATATACATGTTTTCCTATTGTGCAAATTTTAATGACTGTCCAATAGTTTCTACATGGCGACATATCAACAAACGTCAAAAATAGTTAAAAGCAACTTCAATCAAATATACATGATTATCTTATAAGACATATATTTTTGTTAGCAATATTCATCACGAAAACAGGTTTATTTAACTGGATTTTATTATAGTGCAAACTTACATTAGTTTCTAAATATCACATAGTAACAGTTTTTCACCATAATATATATCAGACAATATTCATACACATCCTACCCATCGCTATTCACGTTCAAAGCAAAGGAATATCATGTACTAAGTATGTGAATTTACGATAGAAATCATTGCATACCGCAGTCATAGTTTATAAGAGATAATCCAATAGAATCTATCAATCATTCATCACAAAGAATGAATAAATCTTCTGACATTGCAATGTTATAAGATGGATTTGTTTCAGTGTACGGGCGGCATCATACTTTTTACCCAAATTTCGATCAGAGATACCTGGGTTGCTTCTGATGGCTTACGACCTTTCCATGTAGCTGACGGTTGGAAGTACCACTCCGGCGGTTACTTTGAGGCTTCCGATTCGTTGTCAAGGTTTTCCTGTAGGTTTTGAGCACGCGCCATACGGTGTTTATAGGAAAATTCAGCACTTTAGCCAGCTTGGACGCGGACCACGATGGATTTTCCAAGTAACTGTTCTCCTCTTGCATGGTGACTATCTCCAAAAGCGTTTTATGAACTGAAAAAATATACTGTTATTGTTAACAAATAGACTTCAAAAGCTTCCGAAAACGTCCACTAGGAGCGCTGTAATAACAAAAAAAAAAGTTTGTTCCATTACTAAGTGGGCCATGGTTTAGTTGAAGATTGAGAACAGTTTAGTTCAAAATTACATATTCAATATAGGTAATTCGATTTTTTATGTTGTGTCCAATTTCGTTTAAAATTATCACTTTAATTGGCACTATTGTGTTATTAGACAAACACACAATAAAAAAAATATTGGTATTTTTGGTTATATGTAATTTTACGACATTCCTGAATTAATTAAGAAAGTTTTGAAGTAATGAAATTGGGTTGTTAGCGGAATGCTTAAATAAAACATCTTCAATTTAATTCCACTTAATTAATTTTAGTATCTATGACAAATACGTAGGTATTTCGACTACAATGTGCAGAGTTGGTTGGAAATGCTATCTAACATGAAACTTTAGTGTGATAATTTATTAGCTTCTTAGGTCTTAGAAGAGAGAAGTACGGCAGTATGAAAAGAGAGAGTACGGCAGTATAAAAATTAGTTGAAAATGAGCGAAGGGCCATTAATGCGACAGTACAAGTCAAACGCACACTTTTTTGCCTAACCCGTACGATGTACGCGGAGATTGAAGTATGTCTTCAGATCTACAGGCAAAAAAGTGTGCGCTTACTTACTCATATACTGTCGCATTAATGGCCCTTCGCTCATTTTCAACTAATTTTTATGCTGCCGTACTCTCTTTTTTTCATATTGAAAACAAATTTAGAAATAACGATGAATAAATTTTTATTAAACAAACTCGAGAGTCAGACTACAAAATCTTCCAGATAAGTATACATGTCTTTTGACAATTCTTCAGTCCAAAATCTCACTGTCACTGCTAGTATCACGAGCTTGTTATTACGAAATAATAGTAATAGCGAAATAGGATTTTGGAATTTAAGGATTCTTTTCGGAAATTATTGACAGACATACGTTTTACTATTATTACAAAGCTGGTAGCGATTTGTATTGTTTCACAACTTCAACTTTAATGCATCTTACAATAAATGTTATTGAATGTAACGGGAAAAATAACTTTCAACAAAAAGTACCACGATTAAAAAAAACCTCTCATAAATAATAATAATACACAATTAATGAAATTTCCTCAAATAAATGCGGCAACATAGTCGTCGCTAAAATGTGGATTTGTCCGGTTTCATCTATCCATAATAAGGCATACTTTTGCTTTCTATCTTATGTTAAATTTATGGATGCATGCGTGTTTGTCCGTGTGGTTTTATCTTCACTTCGTTCAGCGTTTGCCAATGCAAACAATCTAATATTCTATCTGCCTGGTATCCCGTGGCTTTCGCGAGTACTTGAGTCCAAGCGTTTCGCCAATCTCGTCGATCACCGACAGGGCGTAGTCTAGTTGTTCTTTGGTGTGTGCCGCGGACAGGCAGAAGCGAATCCGTCCCTCCATGATAGGCGTGGCCGGGAAACCAACTCCCACGACGGCAATGTTACGCGAAGTTAACGTACGAACGACCGCACTGTTGGAGATGTACAGGTAAAGGAACTTGGTTTGCACAGGAAAACTGGAAGCAGAAACTTACCCAATTTTGGAGAAAAGATACACCAACATCGGAACAACGGGAGAATCTTCATGTCCGTAGGTAATGACCCCGATCTGTGCGAGTCGCTTTCTGAAATATCTGGTATTTCGGGCTAGTTGGTCGATACGCTTGCTCCCTTCTTTAGTTCCATCAAGTCCCATGATGATCTTCATAGAGGTGAGAATCTGCTGTGTGACTGGCGGAGACATTGAACTAGCATAGCAGTGCGCGTGGCTGTTTACTCGTAGGAAATTAATCAATTTCTGCAACCAAAGATAGAGTTAAAAAAGGCCATTCCCAGGTCAGAAATTTGATCAACATACTTTGTTACCAGCGATGTAACCTCCTGCAGAACCGAAACTTTTGGTGAATGTACCCATGAGAATGTCAATATCATTGGGATCAACGTCGTAGAAATCGAGGACACCACGTCCCGATGGACCAGTGGCCCCAATGCTGTGGGCCTCATCCAGGTAAATGTAAGCTTTGTACTTTTTTTTCAGTGCTACGATCTCCGGCAATTTGACGATCGATCCCTCCATACTGAACACACCTTCGACGATGATCAGGATCTTTTTCCACGGTTTGCCCGTCTTGGGCTGACCGGTGGAAATCGATTCCTGCAGAACACGTTCCAAATCCTTCATACTGTTGTGGTTGAACACTTTCGTAACGGCACCGGACAGCCGCAGGCCTAGAATGATCGAAGCGTGGTTCTTCTCGTCACTCACCACCAGACAGCCGGGCGAGATTAGTGTGGGAATGTTGAGCGAGTTGGTGGCGAAGCCCATACCGAACACAATGGCATCCTCAACGCCGAGGAACCGGGCCGTCAGCTGTTCCAGCTCCATATGCAACGGGTTGGTGCCTGTTTTCGAGAAACGGTTAGACGCAAAGAATTAGGACAACGGGCTCGGCGCTGTTGCAGAGAATGCTCAAATGATGTAGGGGGAATGGTGCTAATGTTGGCCTATGGATCTAGAGATTGGGCCCATCGATAAAAATCTCTTGTTTTTCAATTTTGCTTATAGACAAATGCGTCATCTGAACAATACAAATAAATAGTTAAAATTGCCAAAAAAATGCCTTAATTCGAATTTTATGTATGGGCCCAATATTAGGGCCAGTTATGCCGATATTGGGGTCATAACCCTAGGTTTCTAATGTGGTCAATAAAAAAATTGCTGAAAGTGCTAGAAAACACTAAGTTACACTAAGTGTACATTTACTTTGATTGAAAATGTTTCAACTATTAATGGAACATTGCAGATATTATACTGATCACATTTTAATTTTCTAGTGCAGTTTAAATAACACTTTTTTTCATATTCTGTTAATTCATATTCATTTAAATTTTTTCTTCATAAATTCTAACGGAAGTTCGTATGGAACTATGGTAATTTTACCGTTTGTCCCAAAATTATGATTTGCATTACTATTTTGCAGTTTTTATGAAGAAGCTTTTCTAAGTGGCGCCAGTGGTGTTGTTGTAAGCGTGATTGCCTCTCACCCAAAGGGCCTGGGTTCAATCCCTGAAATCTCTGATCACGCCTTCCATGAGTTGATGGGTCGATAGGTAGCATCCAGGTGTGGGAGCTGCCTCGCTGGTAGTCAATACGGAAAATAAGATTGACGGAGAACAAATCAAGGAAAAAAAGAACCTTTTTTTTTTCCTGCGGCGCCGTTTAAAAAAAACAAAAAAAAAAGAACCTTTAATTTCCGTCCCACATTTCATGCTGGGTTTCGATCAAACTCTCCCCAATTCCCGAAAACAATTTATATCATTATCTCTTCCTATTTTATTTAAATCAATAGCTAGTAATGCCTTATTCAGAGTTATAACATGCTATAGCGCCATCTTGATGGAGGTTTCTGTGTTGCAATTATTTGACAACTAACTCTGTTGTCTGAGCATACTATAAGTCAGTAAACAGGGTGGCCACTGAATATAAATTTCTGAATTCCCGGTTATCCATGATGGTTTTCCCGGTCCCCCGCAAGCTAAAAATTTCTGAAGATTTAGGGTTTAGTATGAAAAATTTGTATGTTTTGAACTATTGTTTTTTTGACGTAGGACTACGTCTTTGATTTTTATATAGGGGTACACTTTGTGAAAACCGAAAATGGAACATGTAACAAATTAAGAAAGATTTTGAACGTTAATAACTCAGCTGCCCCTGGTCCAATTTTAATAATTTTATCACCAATCGATCAGAAATATGGCTACGCATCGATAACAATGCTTCCGAATGTTGATTTTCAACAAGAAACTATTGAAAAACTGGTAAATGTCCAGCATTGTCCAAAAGCGTCGAATTAACTAACAAATCCACCAATTACCTACATGCATATGCTGCTTCCCCAGCACAGTCGTCAGAGAGTAGTAAGTAGACGAAACAAGTCGAAGTGGCATTCGTCTCCGATCCTCGGGCGCGTGCGAATAGGGAGGATGGAATTGCGTAATATTTTGCACACTCATCGCCATACTCAGAACCACAGTTGGGAGCGACCACACCACTGTGTGGTGGTGTTCGGTCGTCGAAATTAGTAGCAGCAGTAGCAGCGCTTTCGGCGTGTGGCGTTGAAAATTGTTCTCCAGTAAAAACGAAAGGCTGCCTGCAAGCAGCGAGCTGCAGAGCCCACATAAGCAACCATCAAAGGAGGAAAAAGCTGCACCGCTATGCTATGGATCGGAATCAGTAGCTCTTCGTGAGTCGCTGCGGGTCAGTCATCTATGCCAAGCGTGTCTTCCTCGCTTCAAACGACATACAGCTCGACAGCCTCATCCGTGTTGAACACCCAGCTCAGAATTACTCAACCATCACTACAAAACGGTCCTTTTCAGGGTCACCAAAAATTTATTAAAGAGTATCAGGGCTAGATAGATCTCCACAGGATCTATAGAATCCACGCAATTTCAAAAAAACCAAAATGCACAGCATTACGAAAAGAGGTCAGGTTTCGACCAATAGCAGATAGATTTTAATTCTAAACAAGCCAAACGATTGGAAATTTATCTACCAATGTGCTAAAATGAACACTTAGTTAATTTTCAATAGGTCACTATTGAAAAATACCAAATGTCAAACTGTTGCAATGGTGATCAAAATTATCACCGAATGTCTGAAAACAGCGAATTCCCTAACACAGACTTAAAAATCGAATTCGATGCGGTCCCACTGAACGGTGCTCATTCAATCGACGCAAGTGGTGGTGTCCAGCAGGAGTGCTTTCAACAACAACAATGAAAGGCTGCCTGCAAGCAGCGAGCTGCAGAGCTCATATGAGCAACCATAGAGAAGGAGGAAGAAGTCCCACCGCTAGGCTAGGATCTGAATCAGTAGCTCGTCGTGCCCAGCTCAGCATTGCTCAACCATCACTACAAAACGGTCCTTTTCAGGACCACCATAAATTTGTTAAGAGTATTATTTGGAGATTTGTCAAGGTCATCAGTAGCCGCAAGCAGCTAGCTATCAAGGCTCAACCTGGTCTCTATAGAAGGTGTGGAATTGTAGGCCCGAATGTATTGGTGAGATTAATCATCGTCCGACCATTTTCCAGAACACGCTGGTAGGAAGTGTTAAAAATCCATATAGAATTTGAGAGAAGTGGGAATAATTCTCCTTGGGTGTATATTCAGTCCCCAGTAAGCCAATTAAATCAAATTTGTGAGAAAATTAGCTCTCACGAGTTCAATCTCTCGAAGTCCCCGCCCCGCCCCATTCATATCAGTCGGAAGAAAATCCTGTGAGGGGTGAATTGAATACACTTTAATACCAAAATGCACAAAACTTAAAAAATCATAAATAACAATAAATTCAAAATACACCTTTTAAAGTCGGGTAGATGAATCGAAAATACTCAAGTTGACAGTCCCTTGGATTCTCTTTATCAACTTTCTCTTTTAAATAAATACTACAAATTTGTACGCTTACAAATAAAAAACGGAAAGAGTTAAAATAATTGATGATTGATCAATTAAAAGAACTAAATGTTCACATTTGTTCCGTCCACTAGCGGTCCTACGTTAAGCTTCCGTTCGTGCCCCTGGGCACAGACCCTTCTACTTTTTTTTTAAACAATCTTGAACATATAAAAATCAAGATCTCAACAGAACAAACAACATTATATTGTCGATATCTAGAAGATGGAAATACTTTCAGACTCATGGCTTCCAAATATTTACGTGTCGAACATTTAAACACAATTTATCCCTTTGCATTCTGTAAGATGCCTTAAACATACCGCGAATGGAATTTGAGCATACGAAAAATTATCTGCACAGTTGGTGCCTCGAAGAGAATACAACCTTAAATTATATTGCAAAAAACATCAAACATAATTACTGCCTTACACTTTTCAAAAATTAATTAATGAAGAAGAGTTTTCTACCACTTTACTAAAAGTACGAGCTCCTACCCATGTTCTGTTCAAACAATCACCGGTACATTAAGCTTGTTTTATTTATGTTGATGTTTAACGATTAGTCAATTAAATTGAATTAAATACTTTGACTATATGTTTTTAGTATTACTTCTACGTGAAGTCAACGATTTACATAGTTGAAGATGCTAATTTCAAATAACAGACTATAGTGGTAATTTTTATACGATAGATGGAGTAGATGAAAGCATAGAGTTGATAGTTCCGTTAGAGTACGGCAGTGTGAAGATTGTATATAGATATTAGAATAGCGAACTAGGACAACTTTTAAGGAAGGTACAAATCGGTTTTTTCATCTCTCTTTACCAAACTCCCCCTTTGGAGAGGGATGGTGAGGGGTGTCCCCCCCCCCCCCGCCACCACTGGCAAAAAGAGATGAAAACCGACCCGTTCAAGTACCAACTGTGTGTTTGAAACAGTTCTACCGATTTTTACCGCACTTCAATTGTTATTTGAAGGAAGGCATCCAGTCGTAGGTTTGGAAATTGCAACTATTGTTTACCCCTACCACGATATGTGCTCCTGTCATCGTCGACTTGACGATCTCGAGGGGACACGGGTGGGGTAGGTGTTGCTACTGTACCTTTCGACCATTGACAGTAATTGATGGTATGCTCCCATCCACAGTTATGTTACTTTGACTATATGTTTTTAGTATTACTTCTACGTGAAGTCAACGAGGAGTTTGGTAAAGAGAGATGAAAAACCGATTTGTACCTTCCTTAAAAGTTGTCCTAGTTCGCTATTCTAATATCTATATATAATCTTCACACTGCCGTACTCTAACGGAACTATCAACTCTATGCTTTCATCTACTCCATCTATCGTATAAAAATTGCCACTACAGTCTGTTATTTGAAATTAGCATCTTCAACTATTGAATTAAATGTTTTGTTTTTTTTTAAGACTACTGGTAATTCGTGTAAAACCTGAAAGGAGGTGAAAGTAGACCACATTTGCAGCAAAAAATTGCCTGGCAAGGTAGGTCGAAAAATCATCCCTTACCGAGTTATTGAGCAATTAATTTTCTACTGATTCAAAGTGCCAAAGTGCCGGTTATTCATAAGCAATCAAAAATGTAACATTAAACGGTTAGAACCTGATCAAATTCATCCGAAAGTAAGCCTGTGGCTATAGTGAATAGTGGTTAGTAAACAAAGATTGATCATAGTAGCCTAGTAATGCTTACTCCCTGGTGGGCTTTGGTAATATTCGCGAGTGCCCGAGTGGTAGTGTTGCTCGGCAATGTAAAATAAATGGATCAATAACTCGGTAAGGAATGATTTTTCGACCTACCTTGCCATACAATTTGTTGTTGCAAATGTGGTCAACCTTCCCTCCTTTCGGGCGTAACACGAATTACCCAAGGGAGGGAGGTGGCTATCAAATACGAACAATCGTCGCCTACCTCGCATAACTGGTTCCAAACGTAAACAAGCCATAAGAAACCTACAGCGTTTGTTTACGTTTGGAACCAGTTTCATACAAGAATGATCAGTAGGCTGATTTGACAGCACGCCCCCCCCCCAGGAATTACCAGTTACCCTGTATAGTAGAGGCGAAAAAAAATGTGACAGGAGGGTGCTTATGAATCTACTTATCCAGTCGATAAGTGCATCTTTTTTTAAATTTCCATTTTGGTTTCTACATAAACCGTACGCTACACACGTTTTATAAACTTCGGTTATACCATGACTGGTAGTTGATATGTAATATAATAGTAGTGACTTTAGTGATTAAAATAACGAAAAAACTGACCAAATAGTGACAAAAAATGGTTCCAATATTTCGTTGACAGTGACCCACTTCGAGAACTTTCATAAACTCACAATCACAAATCATCAAGTGAAAATGTTTCATGGTCCTTTAAAATAAAACAAATAATGGTTGAAGGATTACCTAAATTTGATCTCGAAAAATTCTACTTTGTTTAATTATTTATTATTAGGTAAGCAAATAATGATTTTATTAATTCAATAAGCAAGTGCATTGCCCATTTCCTCACTCTGTACTCATTTTTCTGACACGATTTATGACAACAAACAATTTACTAAGATTATTTTAGAGTCAAATCGCGAATTGCTAATTAGAACGGATTGAGGCACAGAGAAATATGTTAAAATTTTTGGAGTAAGATCAATTTTAACAATTTTTAAACAATCAATTTTAGTTTTAGTTCTCGGATAAAGAAACTTTTGCAACACCTCAAAACTCTAGGACCTACACAGCTTTTCTAGATAGCAGTCTAAGAGAAAATCTCATTATTCTGGAACGAGGAAAGTTTTCCAAGATGGAAAGATCGGGGACATTGAAAAGTTTGCATGCAGACTGAAAATCTCGATCTCGTAAAAATTTGTAATATTCCGGGATAAATTTGAGCGAATTTGAACTTAAAAATTGAAGATCTCCAAGACAAACAAATTAAAAGAATGGTCTGGAATAATTTTCCCAATCAATCAATCTCACAATACTACCGGCAAGCTGCTTTAAATAAAAAGTAAAGATCAGCATACAGTCATACATAGCATTAGTGGATGCCCCTGGAATTCCTCACACAACAAATGATGAGTCAATTTTCTACGACAACGGTACAAGTGTTACAATGTCAACACGTCACACGTGTATGTACACATTATTCACCGAGAATGGCACCAGAATCGTTATCAGCTGATGAAACGTAATTTTGCTATCTCATAAGCTCGCACCACATTCCACTACATTGTTACATTTGATACGCTACGCTTCACACATGGAAGCCCCCGCATGAAAACTGTTTATCCAAGGATCTCGAAACATTCAGGAAACCCATTTGCATGTCAACTACCAACTAATTAGAACAGCTAGTACGTAGTTTTCTAGAATGGCTACATTACCAATTTCCCGCCGCGAGCTGCAAGCCGCCAGCCCATATGATTTGATTGATTCTTCCGCTTCATCTGCGCATGGCCCCTCGTTCTGGGCAAAACCGAGATAGTTGTATGATCCCAGATTTAGACATCGCGTCTCAGTACCGGTGAATCTGCAAAAAAAAAATCACCATTATGCCAGTGCAAATTATCACCTGCTTGGTAACAAACAGCACTTACTCGAACGACCAACCGTAGTCTTTCGTGACTCTGTCCTTAAGCGTAAGCTCCGCACCTGGAACACTACAGATGGGTCTGTTCCAACAATCTTTCACCCGTCGATAGACGTATCTAAGATAGAACTTCTCGAATGCATCATACAGTGGAACGTAACCCTAAAAAATGGAAATTCTATAAGTTGTTCAATTAGATTCGGTCACTTCAATTAACTCACGTCTCGATGCTTCTCGGTTGCCACTTTCGGGGTGAAGAATAACTGATTTATGTAACCGAGTATCATCAGCAGATAGAAACCCAGGTAGGTGAAGCAGGCAGTGTGGAGTGGCACCTGCTCGTACGATGATTTCTGGTACTCCTTGTTCATCGGCTGTGGTTCGAGCTGGTATTTGCTGAAGCCATTCTACAGACAGGAAATTGGAACCGCGCAAACCGCACAAGGGGGAAGGCAGGTGACACGAATGGAAGACACATACAAAAAAGAGAAGCCATTTATTTTTTGCCCATTAGGTCAAAATTCCATAGCCAAGGGCGTGTGTGATGCATTAATTAATTCTGGACACACTCTTGTCGCTACTTCACTCATCCATTTTTGTGGTATCAGGCGATACCACTATCAATGGTTTACACACGTCTAATGACTCATACTAACGATGGGAAAGGAAAAGTAGTCACTTCTCACCGAGATGCTCTTGCCATTGGTTTGCTGATGCTCCGGGAATCGGGGCCGAATGGTGTGATGGCCATTCATCATGCCATTGTGCAAGGCGTGGCCGTTTTCCTTAAGTCCTGACATGCCTACGGTAGAAAACACACCTATCCGCAGTGCCCCGTTTTGAGTCGTACCCGAAGAAAAGCAAACTTTCTAAAAAATTACTGCCACAGATTTTCTCTGCTCCGCCACTCGCGCACCACTGATCCACACAAAATCGATATATGCTAATGAAAAGTCAAAACCACGATAGATAAACGGACACACACGCACACGACAGGCAGGCCCAAGGATTCCCGGTGCGGAAGGTACGCACGAGCTCTCAGTTTCTGCCGCACTAACCGAATTTGACAGTTATATATCAGTCATGTGCCGCCTGGTGGTCGTCTGCCAACACATCTTCATGCCGTAGTAACAGCTAAAATACATGCATGAATTTGATATTCAGCCATACTGAACTGTAAACATAAAAACGACCGATACACGCGCTTCGTCGAGTTGATGCTGCATTTGTGTTTGTGGTGGCCGGAAAGCTTCGTTTCGACTAGGTATACAGTGGAATCCCAATTATACGCATGACCCTAATAAAAATTGTATTGTTATTTTGCTTAACGACGTGTGTTCGGGGTGTCATCCAAATCATTTATATAACAGCATCGAATAAGCAATTAATGGTCAATATAAAGATTCGTTGGTTGGTAGCATCACCACCTGTGGCGCTCATTGTTAAGTACCATGGCGTTTAAACACTATCGCCGTCTTTTGAGCATGCTTCCCACGATAACAGATGGCGATAGTGTTTTAGACACGGTGTTTTACAGTGATAAATATTCCCTGAGCTATGTCTGTTTGTCTGTGGTTCTATCATTTGGGTTATCATTCGTATATGTTTTTTCCTCTGTTCGGGACATCAAACCACTGCAATTTTGATCTATTGATATTGATATCCCGTGTCCTTAGTTTAGTGCATGTCGTGTATTACTCCATCACTATATTGACGCATTTCGCGCCAAACCGTATTCGGAGCTGGCAGCACCCTCTCAGATTTCAATGGATCTTTCTGGATGTGTGGACCTTGACTAAATAATAGTGCGTTTAGACTACAGAGTTAAAACATGTTATAGCTCTATCTTGATGGTGGTTTCTGTGTTGTTTGACAACCTTAATAACATGTTATAACTGCTCAGCCTGGACAGCGTTTAAGCCACTTTTATTGGCAAATCAAAGTTGGCACTCGTGGAGAATAGATGAACTATGTAAGTGATGATGGTTTCAAAATTTTACACGGTGAGGTATACGAGTTCAATCTTAAAATGCCTTTATTTTGCAAATGGAGCATTTTATTTAAATCTGGTTAGTGATACGTTAGTAGAAAACTTAAGGACTACTCAATAGATATATAATATAGAAAAAATAATTTCTTTTCAGATTTTTAGGTGTATGCATAGATTTCAGCTTTTCTACAACTGTAGCAACAACCAGATTTAAATTCTCAGTTTTCAAAATAAAAGCATTTTAAGATTGCACTCGTATACCTGTCCGTGGAAAATTTTGAAACCATCATCACTTTCATAGTTCGTCTATTCTCCACGAGTGGCAACTTTGATTTGCCAATAGATACTATAGATTCCATAGATAAGCGGAGGCACAAAATGTTGTTTTGGCGATCATGAAAAATAAATGATCTTACTGGCATCCGTGAAAAAAGTTCGTGCCATCATAGAGCTTTTCGTTGTGCAATTTTGTTTTGTTTCGTGCGTAAAAGTTCAAAATGAAGTGCAAAGCAAATCTTTGCAACAATGTATCGAGGAATGGTTTGCTTTATCTTTCCTTCTTCCGTTGTCAGCGTAATAAATCGGAATGTGGAACGCGTTTTGTGCTCATAATATTACAATACTTCTCCTTCAAACAACACCATGATGACGTCTTGCTCGTTTGGCTACACTAGCTGACAGTTCGTTTGGCTACATTATACTTTTCCTCCGCTTATCTATGGAATCTATAGTATCTATAGCCACTTTGCATATACTTAGTTTTTTTTTCCAAAATGTATCTAGACTAACCTTTGAGAAAAGCCAATCTTTTTTTTTATCGATTTAAAAAAAAATATTATGGAAAAATGTGTTGTATGGATGACTTTTAGGAAATTGTCCAAATTATCGAAAAAAAGTACTGAAAAAAAATTCCATTAGAGACCTACATTGAAAAAATCGATTTTTAAAATTTGGAGTCGATCAAAATAAATGGCCAAGTTTAATTTGGATGAAATTTTGTCTCAAGATAGTTATTCGCGAGATGGGCACTTTTAATGGAAAATTTTTTTCTAACAAAAACTTTTTCATGTCTGAACTGATTTTTTTAATTTGCCATTTTCTCACAAAACTAAACCACCCAAGTTCCATAAAGTTCAAATAAAGCTCTGACTGAACCTTCAAGTTCCATAAAGTTCAAATAAAGTTCCAACAGAACTTTCAAGTTCCATAAAGTTCGAATAATGTCCCGACAGAACTTTCAAGTTCCATAAAGTTCAAATAAAGTTCCGACAGAACTTTCAAGCCACAGGAAGCAATCCGCACAAGTCTTTATTAGTAACAAAATTTAATGTACGTCAATATGAAATGATCAGTGGCTTAATAAATCACAATTCTTATATTTATGTAGTGGATTCGAACCCGTGTATTCGGCATGCGATCTACGATTGCTAACCACTGCGCCACAAGTGTGTTGGAATACCATGCGGGCAAGCACCAATTTAAAATTCATCAAGGTGTTGTGTTTTGTATTCAAGTCAGTCAGCTGGCACTGAAAACTCCAACAGTAGGCGGGACAACAGCTCACTATAATATATCTTAGATGACGAAGCGGTTAGTGCTGGGGCTCTCACGCAGAACGACTGGGTTTAATACTTCAAACAGCTCCAATTCTCTACTGCTAATGCTTGATAAATCAATACACATTAATACCTGCCTTTAGAAATAACTTTCATAAAAGTGCGAACATAGAGGCACGCAATAACCTTTAACTCCAACGCAGGCAACGGCTGTAATTAAATTATTTTCACTAACTACTGCTTTAATTACATGAATTACACAATGTAGAACATTAACTGCTTTTTAATTCCATTCATTACAGTCGTAATTTCGTAATTAAAGTACATCAATTACATTTTCAATACTTTTAATTACATTAATTACCGATAGATAATTTTAATTACAGACAGTACTACTTCAAAACACATTAATTACTTTAAGTACTTTTGATTGCATTTTAACTTCAACGCACCGGTTCATTGTATTGCGTGCCCCTCGGTGCGAACTAAATATAGAATTGGTGTAGAGGACAAAAAACTTTTTTTTCAATTTATTTTCTAAAATTTCCGTTCAAGTTCCGTCAGAAGCTGCTTAGAATGCTCTTCAATTATGGTACCGGAACTTTCAAGTTCTTATAACTACTTAAAAATGAGGCTCCTTAGAATTCTATAGGCCACCTTCAACCAAGCTGCACAAATAGCCTTTTATCAGAACTTTTGGTTACTTGGACAGTGAAGCTCAAAATCATCTCAGAATCCAATGAAGCTCAATTTGCGATTCAATTTTGTCTAATTAGCACTTAAGTTCACTTTGAATAATCGAGAATTTCATATGAAAAGGGCTCATGATGCATTTCTCACCAAATCGTATTCGGAATTGGCAACACCTTCTCAGAGTTCAATAAAACTTTCTGGACATGTAGACCTTGTCAAAAATATACCATTATCTTATTCTGGCAAAATCTGATAATATGTGAGAGAAAAAAGACAAGATTTTTCATTTATCTTTTATTTATATATTTTCAATGTTTTAAACCAATTTTCATACATGCTATTTTTTTCCTTTTTCCAATAAATTTAAATATTTTAGGTTCATCTTCTGAATTAGAATACCTTTTTGCCGCTACTTTTTTTTTGTATCATCGTTGACCTCATGCTCACTTCTTTTGTTGGGTGTACTTAGAATACCCTGCTCATTAATAAGGCTCTTCACCTGCCTCACCATGTACGTTGGTGCGTTGAATTCTGCTATGACTTTATTCACGGACCAAGACTTTGGCAATGCTGATAATACTGTTATCTGATCTTTTCTGTCAGTTGTAGGGAAATTGAATTTCTCCTTTAGCTGCACAATCATCTCTTCGTATGCCTCTACTTTGCTAATGTCTGCTGTATCCAGGCCAAATATATTTTTTTCGCACTGCTTGTGTAATTTCAAGAGATTTTTTTGAACGATAATCCACAGACATAATACATTGAATATTTCTCACGCTGTAAAACATCGTCGCTAAAACATTACCGCCATCTGTTGAGTATACTGTGGTGGGCACTAAATACGCTGAACAGATGGCAGTAGTGTGTAAACGTCAAACGCAAGGGAATTGACTATGCGCGCCCCAGGTACGATACTTTTAAATTGTCCGTTAAATGCTTGTTCGATGAACAACTTGCAAGAGTTATGTCTGTTTGTCTGTGGATAATCCATGCTCATGTTCCTCGATGATTTTTTTATTGGGTATCAAGCTGGAGCTGCGTGACAGCTTAGTTTTCAAGACTTGACCCATTTGAATAAATTTTGCTTCTATCTTTGACAGAAAGACTAGCCTATGTTGGCAGCTTGAACACTGGATTCCGTGTGTATTGTTTCAAGATAGTTATGGAAAAATATACATCCGCGTAGTAAACCGTTTGAATAAGTAAATCCGTTTCGAACGAAATATCCAAATTATGTAAGTTACGAAAACCGCGCGAATTCCGAGAGCCGTGCGAGACAACCGAAGCGAGAAAAACCGGCTGATTATCATTTGAAGAGTGCCACCAAAATAAATGTGATAGCCTATGTTGGCAAGTTGATTAATTTTGGTTTCCTCCCTAGATATTCTACTTATTTACTACTGAGCTTTGTATCAAATTAGTTAATTTAAAAAACGTATCAATCATTTCAAGATTTCGCGACCGTGCCGAACAAATTCTATACTACATAAGCTCAAAAGCGTTTGACAAGCTCTACCGAAATGCGTATCACTTCTGCGTAAGCTCCGTAGACGTAGGCGCGTTGAATCCGACAGCCGCTAAATGTTAAACATGCATCAATACCACATAAGGAAAGATCGATTTTACAGTCACGTAGTGTTTAGTTTATAGATTAACATTGACTGCTGTTTACAAATGTAAGTACTTGAACACTAAGAAATAAGTTAACTCAAATGCTTTAACCGCATATCAAGAACAACATGTGAAAAGGGTATACAAGCTTTTTGTAAGCAAACATTCTTATGCCCTTTTCTCGTCACCCATATGACACCAACGCAAGCCATAAACATCGCCTTCGGTTTCCCCTTCCCGATAATGTTGTTAGTTTGCGTTGGCAACCCTCGGTTGGCGAGAAGAGGGTCTACACAGGTTTGTTTACAAAAAACTTGTATGCCCTTTTCACATGTGGCTCTCATATATCAGAGATTTCGCGTATTGAGAGAAAAATATAGTAATCGAGTACAATAAACTCAGGGGAAAACAATACCTACAAAATATTAAACGCTGTCAATTGTCACATACCTCTACTTTTACTTATTTCCTAAACTATTCCTCTTTTTGTAAATCTGCTTAATGCTATTGGTCTGCGTGCGTTTTCTTATTGAAGTTCAAGACTAAATAGGAAGATTTATTCTACAACTTTAGAGGTTCGTTGCCTCCCTCAGCGGACTCCCCGCATCCTAATTCTTTTGTTAATCTACTTAATGTTATTAGACTTTTTAAAGTTTCTTATTTAAGTTCATTAGATGATTATGATATCTCATTAGTCTAATTTAATAAATAAATGATTGAATTTCTAATTCACCTAGTCAATCATAACCCATGCTTTATTAAGTACCTGCACTTGTGCTTTAATCTAAAATTAAACGTGTTCCAAGTACTTGTGATTTTGACCTATACCTGTTTATTATATCTTAGTTCGACCCAAGTGATACCATCCAGTGACTAAAATGCTTCACTTTGAAGTTAGTTTCCTAGCTGATTTTTAAATTATATAGGGTATATGCTCCAACTATGCTCACACGCTTCCACTAAGTCACACCACAAAAATACGTATGAGTGATTATTTCACAATAGAAGCACGCCACAGTGTAAATCTCGAGCCATAGTTCAAATAATTATCCCAAATCAAAATGAAGCACATATAAGATTAGTTACAATACCATGTACAAAAATGGTGTTCAACATTGTTCCCTGAGTTATACTTCAATAAAAAAACAACAATGAAAGCTTGTCACGCAAAAAGAAGGAGCACAGTTGGGCACCTTCTGTAATATTTCAATAGCTTAATTCTCTTGCAAACCCAAATAAATCTATCTGCGTAAAAAAAAATAAGAGTGATTTGCAGCAAAACCCGCCAGTATCGCACCCAACGTCAGTGCCTATACGTAAGCGTACTACAACGCGGCTCTCAAACAAAGGAGTAACAAGTGTGATACTATCACTGCTAGACTAGATCTTTGGTTCTCTCATGCAGAGGTTTATCAGAGTGGGGAAGCTTAGTAATCCCCATCGCCTGCCCATGGCGCCATTCTATCGCGGCATGAGCAAACAACGCTGGCCATAAACCTACCGTCTCCAACACTCCACTATAAAGCATGAAATTAAGTCCGCCCACCAACAGTAAGGTGCAAAACCTAGCCAAGGAGAGGGAGTTATTAATTGATATCAAAGCCAAAAACTGTCCGATATGATTAATTAACTACTTTACGAGCGACACTGCACTATGACACAGTAGCTTGAATTTGTGTACTCTATTCTTTACGCCTTAGTATATTGCCTGTATCGTTAGTTGATTTTTTTTTCTGAAATGGCCATCTATCTATTCCTACAAATGTTTCTCAGATGTAATTTCGATTTAAAGAGTCGTTTTTGGAAAACATAGAAAAAAATAAAGAGAATACCCCATTTTGAAAAAAAAGAGCTGATATTCAAAATAGCTAAGTCCCAGCATAAATTTAAATGATTTTCCACAGCGAACAATTATGCAAAGTTTCATGAAAAGCGGAGAGGGTCAAGCCAGAACTTGTTAGAGCCCACAATTTACCAATAACACAATAAGATGTTGCTCTATTCGCCTCTACCCGGGTATTGTTGCTCGACGGTGGTCAAAGAATTCAAATGGACTAGCTGAAGTTTGACGATAGTTCCGACCAAAGATAAATATCGTAATCAAAATTAAAAGTATTTATTTATGTTCAGCTGACTAACAACAATAAACGCAGAGACTGAGCTAGATACAAAATCGCTTACTAATTACTCCTCTCTGTTGTCCCTTTTAAAGCTTCGCATTCGCTATTTAGCGCCTTTGTCCGTTACATATGAGGGTAAATAATAGTTGCATGCGTCTGTGTAAATCTGTATATGTGTCATACGCGTATATTGACCATATTATGCCCAGATCGATTTGTCATTTGTTACGTATCGTACACGTTCCTGATCGATGCACTTACCGGCACATTGCACAACTGGAAACGCTAATGAATCACCATGGGTAGCAAAAGCTGCTAATTTGAATGCTAGCATGCAAACAAAGCTAACTATAGCGACAACCCCTATCGTCTGGTGGTAGAACTACATCCCTGAATCCCAAAAATTGCGCATCGAAGGATTCACAGAATCTAGATAAGCTCTGACATCTATCGCCTGACATTGATCCTTTTTTTTCAATTCCATCAACTGTTCGGGTGCATTCACTCATACATCAACGGTGACATTTAATGTCCTTTCGGGTGATTGCCACGGGAGTCAGTATGCGTTATGGGTCCGACACGCGCATGTACAACACCATTCGTGGGCCACACAAATAAACATCCGAGTATCACACAGTAGCCTGAAAACCGTGGACCGCATACACTGTCAACTGTGGTTGTGCTCTGGAAACAGATGAAAATAATTTCCATCCAGACGGTGAGAGAATCTCTGTGCGTTCTGTGATAGAGAAACATCCTGTTGTCTTGGCCAAGGTGCTGCACCTCAACTGTTACAATTCCAGTCCATCGGTCGATTCGTCCTTCGAGTGCAGGATATCTGTTAGGATCATCTTTCATACAGTGTTAAAGTGTAAAGTGCAAGGAAAAAAGAGCGAAAATGGATAGTTTTCTGGGAAGCTCTGACAGTGGTGTTCCGAAGGATTTGGGCGAGTTGCCAAAGGAAAAATTTGGTGACCTCATAACGGACCACTCCCGTTTTCCCAGTGGTGAAGAAAAATCAGACATTTCACAAAAATTTCCACCAGAGGTAGATCTACTGGGTGATTCCTTCACGATGCCGTCTACCCATACTGCGCCGGACAACAAAGTGCTGGAGAAAGAAAAAGAAAACTTTGATGACTTCTTTATGGGAGTAGAGGAAAAGATCAATTCCCAGCCAGCAGCATCTCCAATAAACAATCTCATCGATGTTCTTGAGCCAGATATGTTCGATCCAAAGAAGAAATCCCACAACGAACCAGAGAAGCCTCTGTTTACCGATTCCGCTCCATTCGGTGCTGGTCCAGATGAGCTAGTACATGTGAAAGATGAAATTGAAAGTGATTACATGAACCCGTATGCAGAGGTTCGTACCATCCCAGTACAAAGCCAGAAGGTCGAAGAACCAGCAGCTGTTTCTGCAGCCTTCACCAAAGATGATATATTTGACGACTTTGTTAGTCACACCAAAAATGACCAATTCGATGAACCTATGTTCGATGATTCATCATCATCAGCTGCTGTTGTTACCGCTCCTGTAGTTCCCATTCCCGCTCCTGTTGAAGTACCATCTCCAGCGCCTGTTGTCCCCGAACCGGTAGAGGATCTCAAACCAAAAACTCCCGTTGAACCACCGCAAGAGAATTCGAAACCACCACCATCTATTTCATCGTCCAATGACCAGTGCATTCAAGCGGAGAAGATATTCAAAAAAATCGGTTTGGGTAAGTATGGACAACATCTTATCGCTTATCACCAACATAATGCAAGCAGAATGAGCGCGGATGGACTGTAGACAGAGAAAACGGAAATTGAAAATTACGTCATTTTAATTTCGTTCGGTGTCGTAGGTGTCTAGCAAAGGAATGAGTGAATGCAACTTATCGTTGGTTGTGTGTCACATCTAGGGTGGAAAATTTGAATTGCGATAAAAGAGATCTGCTGATGAAAGCTCTGGAGCGAGCGATAATCGTCGCAAGGATGAATGATTAATTTAATCAGCTATTTTTGGAGAGTTAGCTACTCGCAAGTTCAAGTTCAATTGGAACGTATTTTTACGCAGCAATTCCAATTTTGATAGTGTGGTAGTTAGAGTAGAATTGGAATAGTAATATGTAATACAATTTATTGAATTACAAAAACCATCATCAAATAGTACCCTGTGATTGTCAAAATATCACTATGTGGCAATAACGTTAAGTAGTTGTATTTATTCTATCATAGTCGATGCGCATATTTAATTTTATTGATTGGTGAAAAACATTTTCCCTAGTTCGCTGAAGGTCACGAATTTCAATCTAATTTGGATTTAGATTTCGGTTAGGGATTTGAGCAAGAAGTGGCATTGTTCTCATATTCTTCGCTGCAATCAATCCAATGCAATATTTACTGTATATATTTGACACATCCTTGGTAATTATGACATGTTAGGTTTCTTTTTTCTTTTATTTTGTTTTCGATAATCAAACTGAGATTTGTCAAATAATTTCAATTTTATTATTCCATGCATCGAAGAATTTGTATGCTTCGGTTTTTTTTTTGTATTACAGGTCAAGGGTGATTATCAATATACTCGATTATCCGTAATTTTAGAATGGATTATTAGTATTTTTACCTAATTATTTTAGTCAATGAAACTACATTGGCTGGTTCATGCGGTCAAAAGACACATTTTTTTTTATTTATTTAGTTTTGATTTTGTTTTCAGTTTATTTTGGTTGATAAAAATAGTATTTTGAATTTATGTCCAACATACATCGTGGAGAGGGGGGGGGGGGGTGGTAAGGCAAACATTAATAACAATTGGGACTTAAGGGACGTCAACGATAAATTAATAAATTAATAAAAAAAAAGTGTACTATTAACCCGTTAACACCCAAGTCATTTTTGACCTCCGGGCAATGCGCAAATTTTCCAGGAGTAGCCCAAGGATTATTTTCAAACTATTTGAAAACAAGATGTTAGGGATATTCCAAGGATCATTCTAGTGATATTGAAAAAAATACTTACGTTCCCATTTCTGTTAAAATATGATATGGTACACCGGGCAAGTTGAAATGCGCGAGGAAGTTGAAACGATACGTGCATCGGTGCATCTCTTAGCGGAAGTGAATATTTACTGTAATTATTTTTGAGAGGCATTGTGTACTACCGCAAACTACTATATTAGAATTAATCTCAGTGATTATTCACTTCCGCTAAGAGATACATCTACCGTTTCAACTTGCCCGGTGTATCTCAAAAAATAAAATCTGATCTGTAAATAGATTACTTAATAGGTTAAGATACAGAACGAAAGACAATTTTGAAGAAAGTATTTTTTTCTCTTTTCAATATTTTGAATTTTTTTAAGGTTATTAAAAATAAAATTTGCATCAGCCTTATGAAAAAAAAGGTGGACATGGCCATTTGCGACGAATTGAGTGTAGCATTTCGATGTCTTCTAGAATGTTTCTTCAATTTTTTATACTTTATTTGAGTGGTGAATACCCTTTCAGAGCACGTACAACTTTGTAGAATATTGAAAAATTGGAAAATTCAAACAAAAAAGTTATGATAAAAGCGGGTTTTAAGTGTATACTACCGTTTGTACCTTATAACTTCGTCCAGTTGAGAGATAGAAAATTGCTACACTACCTTGGTCCATGAGTTGATGGGTCGATAGTAGGGTCCAGGTGTGGGAATTGCCTCCCTGGCATCGGTACCATTGGTACTCAATACGAAAAACAAGATCGACGGAAAATAAATCAAGGAAATAAAATTAATTGGATAGGGGAAATGGATGTAATGTCGGCCTAAATGCCCCTAATTTGGACCCATACATAAATTCAGCAATCGACTAATTTTTCAATAGCGAAACATCCATTAGTACCGTCCCAATGACGCGTTTATCTATATCAAATTGATAAATAGCAGATTTTTAACGATGGGCCCAATCTTAGATCCATAGGCCAACATTAGAGACATTTTCCCCTATCATTAATTAAAATTTATTTACCCGTATATATTTTTCTTAGAAAGACTTTACTTTACATTAAAGCTTGGTCTCAGACGTCAATTCGATTAGAAGTGACGATTTCATGCATTGATTCATGTGTATTAAAAATGACCAAATTTCAGCAGAAATGTAAATGATTGTCCATAACAAACAATTAACAAGTTTCATGCAAATTCAAGAAGGTCAAGTCTGAAACTCAATTTTTCTTTGCTGTTCGGCTATTTGGAATAGTCATTGAGCAGGTCCGGATTTGCGAGTTCAAGAGGGGCTACGCTACGGCCCCGGGCCCTCATACATTTTAGAAATTTTAACATCAACACTGAGAACCATGTTTCATTTACATAATATCAAGTTGATAGCAAGTGATAAGCATTATATTTTCTCAATAAATTGTACAAATTTCTAATTTATAGTTAGAAAAACCATCCAGTGTGCAATCTGACTCATAACGAATATACGTTGCATCCGAGATCCAGCGCAGCAAAGATTATGCATACGATGATCGATTCTCTATACAGGTGAAACATATCCGTAAATTTTCCAAAGCCTTACAGTAATCTTAAGGTTGGCTAGCAAAAAGAACAACAAAATCTCCGAAATATTTTAAACCAGCCGAGTTATTAACAAATAAGAAAATCAAGAAGAGAATCAACCATTGCAGAAACTCCTTATGAAACGCTGAGTAGAAGTTTTTTTTAGCTAAATATTTCAGACTGACATTTCATCATGTCATCATTGTTAAGTGAGAGTGAACGGATTACTTATGGACGTAGATTTTTTTTGTAAAGTTTAATGTACGATAAAACACAATTTTTTTGAGAGGTCTTTCCTCGTCATTTTGAGACAACTACTGAAATGTTCGATAGGGGATTTTTTCTCATATAAAAAATGGATCTATTTGAGCGTTTATTTCCATAGGCTACTTTGCTCTTAATTTTCTTATGCAGAAAAAAATAATGAAAAAATTAATAAAAGATCAGTAGTAGCATAGAAATGTCGAAAAACGTCCCTTTTTCAAATAGTGAAGAATTCGTTACTGCCGAATTTTATGTTTTAATATTATTCTCATAAAGAATTGTGGGTAATTTCCACAAAAAAATGCGATGTAGAAACCGACAAGAGCAAAACGCACTTTTTTCTCTTGTCTCTTTGAAATCATTTGAATCAAAACATTTTCCAAATGAAAATCAAATTCGATCAGTTCTTTCATTAATCTATCAGCTTATTAACTCTCCACGAACGGCGAATCAACTGGCAATGGGTTCCAGTTTTACCTAAATATCAGTTCTTCTGAATTGGGACTTGCCCTAGAAACTCTATAAGCTTATTTAAAATACTTGAAACTATGACTGGGGACCAGAGCTGAGCATCAGAAATGTCATATTAGGAAGCCTGGTTTGGAGCAAATTAATGGCTGTAAAAGTTGAATATGCACTAAAGGTTCCTTACATATGTTTGGCCCCAGGCCCTCAAACCCGGCAGAGCGTAACATTATTGACTGCTTAGGCTGAGTGTGCAGTGCACTCCACACGATAGAAATGTTTCCATCAATATTTTCATGTCAATACTTTCTACAATATTTTCGGGGGTTCATCAATACAGGGTCGCTCCTCACTAACATTGATGTATCCGATGGAATATTCCGAATCAAATCACAACCATCTTGACAAAATTTACCAAGAAACAGGCACTATCTGCTGCTGTAGTCAAACAGAAGGAGAAAATGAGGGGAAATATTGAAACATGAAATCAAACTTTTCTGATTTTGCGTCAATATTTTCCCCGAGTAGCACACTTTCATTACAATAAGTTACAGCAACTTGTTTATGACTGAAATAAGTCGTATATAAGTTTCTACAATTGATTTGTGACAAGTGTGCTACTAGGGTCGTCGTCAATATTTGCATCAATATGATTGTCAGTGCTTTTGAGTATTGACAATATTTTATTTAAATATTTTTCAGTGCTTTTGAGTATTGAATATATTTTAGTCCATTGCTCTGTGCAGACCGTTGGTAGGTACTAGAAATACTCAGAGGGAGAGATGGGCGGAGAAAACAAAATACAATTCGGCAGCAGGGATTTGTACCTAAATAATCTTGTTACCCTTGCTAGAAGCTAGCATTTCACTTGACTTTTTACTTTTGATTCGATTTACGTGCAAAATAATAATTGAGTGCATGGCAATATTTTGCACATTTCTTGGTGCTATTAGTTAACCTACTAAGGTCAATAAATTAATAGAGTTAGAATATTGTTTTTTTTTTTTAACTAGTTAATTTTGAGAAGCACACGAAACATAAAGGTGATTGAATTTCGGTTCGATTGCAATACTCTCTTAATTAATCTAGTAAGAATAAGAAATCCTCTGAAAAATTCTAATGGGAATGTTCGATTGGCTCAGATTTTGACAGTTCATTTGGCTCAAAACATTCCTTCCGCTTATCTCTCCCTCTGAGTGTTTCTAGTTTGTACCATACGGTTAAGGACGAGGCAATGAAAGAGCTACAAAAACATTCAGTCAATCACCAACAGGTGACTCACACCGCTTGCATTCGCTTACATACCATGTAATTGAGGCATTTTTTCATAAAAAAAATTTACGCTCAGTCATTAAAAATAAGGATTGGGTACCATCACGGAAGAATAAACGACCGGTGGAAACAAACTATTTTAAATTGGCTCACTACTTGACTAGCCTATTGGTCCCAAATATATCTATAAGCG